GAACATAATGTCTATTATTAGCTAATTTATGTAGAGCACCGTTTTGTATAAACACATACGTGAAATACAACCATAGGTATGTGTCTGAAACTGTATAAACCTTTTCAAGCATAGATTAGACACAGGTGGTTTTACATAAAAGATTCCCTGCCAAAATTTATGCATACACATATGCACAAATAATCATTCTTAATGGTGTGTTCCACAAAAAACGTTTACTTCCTGTTTATTAATATACTCGTGAACGTCTACCTTAGGTCCTTTCAGTCACAATAAACATGGCCTCAAAATTAGTTTGAAGTAAACAACTATATCTATATGTATATAGGTACCCTAAACATTTTATCATTTGGAGAAATATGTTACTGTTGATTTAATTCACTAATGTGGTTAGGCATAAAAGTAACTGCAAAGAAGTGTACATAACTACAGTTACAACTGATGGTTAGCTCATCGATAGTGTGTACTAGAACACTTTAATAAACATGCTGATAAAAAACGAAAACACACCTGTAGCAAACTTCACCAAAGTTGACTATTTTTAAACTATCATCTAGTCTTATTCGCCAACATATAGTAACAAGTGATGACTAGTATTTCTTTCATGTCATTAAGTTTACTTGCAAAAATCTGAATCATACTGTTGATGAATGATGGCGGTTACAAATAGACCAGTATGACCGTCTGAAATGAAATCACGACTCAACTGGTCACGGTAAAGTGTTTAAACAAACAAATTCAGATACGAAATCTTTATTTTCGTCACAAATCCAGTTAGTTATTTCTACGTATAACAGGTTCCTTAATATGCTTCAATTGAATTGGTAAATATTCTTGATAACTTTCGTGTTCATCCACACGAAAACCAATGCCTCGAAGCAATAAAACAGAAAATTTTATTTTACTTAATCTAAATGGTTTTTTAGGTTTATATATTGCCAAAACTATTAATTGAAAATAAATTTATCCATGTTCCAATAATTGTCTGATAGAAGAGAGGAACATCAGAGTTAATTATGTATATATATATATATATATAGGTAAAAAATGTAGATACTTGTTTTAGGAACACCTACGTACACGCCTCAAAGATAAGAATCAGAATAAAAAAAATTCCGATTGATTTAAAAAGGAATATGAGACAGGGTTGAAAAACCAAACAAACTGACATTTATTTACAAGTTGTTGTAATGTAAATTAGAAATTACTTCAAACCAAAAACTATATTATTTCATAAAGATTAAAGAAATCTGAAGGGTAACCCTTTGATATATACTTTTGCAGAACACAAGAAGAGATTGAATCTGTTTGTCGATAATCATATTTTATCCAAGTTTTAATGTGTTTCTAAGAATATTTAGCAAAATCTTACCGAAGTTATTCTTGTATAAAGAAACAGATTCACAGATTGTTATAATTAGAAATGAAACATTGTGGTGGGGTTTCGTTCTCTGAGCTGGATGTTTTTGATGTGGAACTTCTATCTGAGGTTTGTGCTGATGTTGTTGTTGAGAAGAACAGCAAAAGCTCCACAACCAAAGCATCCAACTCAGAGAAAGAAACTCCACTACAATAATCCGCTTGAGCTACGAATTTTCTCTACCATTTCGAAATGGTACATTAATAAAATGTTTGAATTTGCATTTTACTGACTAAGTATCACAGATCAGTTATCTGAGGCATATCTTATAAACTTGTAAAATCCATTAGGAGATATGAGTGAGGAATAAGTTTATTCAGAAAAATAACACAATCACATGTATATGATATAACTTGGGATTTTCAACAAATATCATATGCAATGAATGTATACAACCAAACATAAAACCACTGAGAGAAAAATTTGATGAACAGGTACTGTTAGACAAGGAATTCAAAAATAACAATGGATACAGTTAGTTTTAATCTAGTCAGATATGATCATTAAAGTATTTATGATGCGCCTCGGGGAGGTGAGAAGTGGATATTAGAATTCATATTTACAACACTATAACTAAAGCTAATACTATCTACTAATTGAAATAACAAAAAATTAATCTGTGTACAAAAACTGAACTCTCTAGCATAAATCTAAGTAATGGACATGATCATTCATGTTGATCACTACTTCATACCACAATATGAAGACAGTTGAAGTTTAGCAGACGTATTAGTTAATTCTTTAGCTAAAAAATTTAGATGAATGCTTCAAAAAGAAAAATAAAGCGCTTGATATTTGCATTATTTAACTTTGTTTATTTACTTTTACGCATCGAATTCAGACATATAAATAACCGAACTTTACAATGAGTACATTTCATAAAAATAATAGTGAATTACCAACATGTATATATATATATATATATATATATATATATATATATATTAATAGTGCATAACCTTCACATGTGAAATTTCAACTATACGGATCAATATTATTACAAGTGTTCATCATATAATTATCAAATAATGATTAAACAAAAACAAACAAACGGCAATTTGTAAAGAAGAGATAACATGTTACAGTAAATTGAACAAATTCAACAGAGTATCTCACATGGATGATGTAACTCGGAAAGCGAATTAATATTATGCATACTTAATCTCTACAATACAGAATGCTACATTGATGAACAAGTGTACTATATTTTGAATTGATTGAGTTTCTTTTTTTTTGCCAAATAGAACAATAGTGTATGTGTAATAATAAGACTAGTAATGTGAAAAGTTCTTTTCAAGTTAACAAGAATTATTGATCATTAATAAATTAAATCATGTGTAGCCTAGTAATTTCATGTAGGTTCTCATGTTATGCGGCTAATTTCTTGGTACTTTATTGTAGTAAGCATTCTTGCATTAGAAATATGTAAATGAATAAGTATGAATTGATCAATTAATCGTGTAAGAGTTTGTGAGGAATTTTATTCTGAAATGATGACACTAAAGGGCTGTAATATGTGTGGTAGATTAGCAGTAAAATTTTGTTTACTTTTGTTTGGTGTGTATGAAGGCGATCCCATTGGGTCCTAACAATTTTAAGATTTAATTCTTGTCTAAAGATCATTTAATCGATCTGAACTATCTAAAAGACACTGTTACTCTGTTCATCAGTAATATCAAGCTGTAATCTTTTTTGATACTATAAGTAGAAACTTTAAAATGCTTGGTCACTGTTTTTTTACCTTCATAACATATGATTATCTCCCCCATCAAACAGTTTGTTTAAGAATAGGAAAAGTAGTTGAACGTATAGACAACCTTGTTTTCCAGTGAAGTTGTGGCAAAGCTGATCATGTTTAGGGAAGGTAGAGAAGATTCTTTAAGCACCTGTCAGAGACATATTTTACGTAAAGAGACTAGGATTTATGCATATGTCTATCAAGGAGAGAGGGCGAGTACTTTAGCACTGCAGTTCAAGCTGGAGGTTACGAAGAGGTTGAATATATTCACTCACTGGTACCTGCAAAGTACTACTCAAGCATATTGGATTAACTGATTAAGGAACGTTGAAGTTAGGAGGAAGGTTTAATGCAAGGAAGGTGATTTGGTCAACACAGATGTGAACTTGTGATTAATTTACAATCTAATCTATCGTCAACATCTATACCTATGTTAGATGCTATCAGAAGTAGAAAAATATTTCAAATCGGTATGCTGATGGTTAGAATCCTGCTACAATCTAAATTATTTTCAAATTTTAATTATCGGACTGATGTAAATATTTTTTAAAAGGACCAAAAATGATATCTGTGCTCCGTACATTTAAAATATGGTATGGATGTTCACGGATGTTTAATATCGTTGGCAGAGGCGACAGAAAATATTTGTTGAGTCTCATTAAAATTATCCTATTCCCTAGAATTCGATGTTCGCACCATGTGGGAGACCAGAAGAACTAATCAAATTACAATCGAAATGAAAATATACAATCTGGTGGTACTTAGGATCAGTTAAACACGTTGGACGCAGGCTATACTAAAAAGACTAGCTTCAAGATAGACGCTGCTGTACTCCGGTCACGAAGAAGAAAGTGCCTCATATAGATAATGAATTGCACTGCTGAAGTTGAAAGTAGCACAAAAAAACTGATGGGGATCTCATCGACTCACAATGATCGAAGCCTCCTTCAGAACAAAGAAAGAGGAGATCATAATGAATGTGATTTAGTGCTATGAGCCCACCAACGATAACAATGACGACAATAAAGATCGATTCTATGAGAGGTTGCAGTTGGTTGTAGAGAAATGCTCTGAAAAGGATTTGACTATTCTGATGGGAGATCTAAACGCCAAGGTTGGAATAAACAAAACTTGCTAGAAGACATCATGGGACAACATGGACTGGGAGAAGAGAACGAAAACGATGAGGGATTTACAAATCTATGTGCTTTCAATAAAATTCTTACAGTCAGCATCATATTCCCACATATAGGAATACATAAAGCTACGTGGGTTCCACCGGATCACACTGCATAAAACAATTAGATGCAACTAGAAAGGAGAGCCCATGACAGAGTTGGTTGGAGAATGCTGGTTGGTGGCCTATGCTCCACGAGGGATGACAGGCGTTAGTAAGCTAGTAACTTCCTTTAAAACGAATTATCGAATTTTAAATCAAGAAGCTATAGCTGAACGATAACAGTTATTTAAAATGCTAGTATGATTTCGTGTTGGTTTTCTTAAATCGAAGTTTAGGTATTGCATCAAGAAATATGAAATACAGTGAAGAATTTTTAAGTGAAATTGCCCATCACGAAATGCCTCTACATGCAATTAGGAATCATTTAGATCATCTTAGCTAATCTGAATAAAGAAATTGCACTAATGCACATCAGATACTACTGACCAATATATAAGTAGTTAGAAAACATTCCTATCAATCCTTAGTGCACTAACTCATTCGTATGCAGGTTAACGTGATGAAAAAAATGAACAGCTGTTTCGATCATTCTGAATGAAACTTATCAATATATTATTATCAACCTGATAAGAACATCAATAACAATAAATTGAAATACTTACAATGTAATTCCCAAAACCAGGAGATCTTATGACTGATAAGGATTCGATATCATTTTGAGCATTACTGTTGGTATTAGTTGCAGAAATCGAACCGGTATTAACGGAATTATCATTATTGGATTGATTACCAGTTGATCCAGATAAAGAATTAAGATATTCATTTGGTTTACGACCACCTAACAACATAATGAGATATTAGAAAAAAATTTAGTGTAAAGAAGAAACAATAGTGACAGTCATCAAAAAAATGATATGAAAGTAGTTATCAATGACAATTTCATGCTTTCCTACTACTTTTAAAAGAAAAATTTAAAAGATATGTTAGTTAAAAAAAATCAGATACTTTTGTGAAGAAAATGACAGAATTGGAAAGGAGACGGAATTCGAACTAGGAACAAGTAATATGAAATATGTATGATCTTTTCGTATTGACAATAGGATTCTCACAATAAATTATAGATGCTTATTATTCATTTAGCAAAGTAAATAAGTGTAGATCGAAAATTCTTCACGATCAAGTGATTAAAACGGAAGAGGTATGCTGCATGATAGTGTTAATTAGACCTAAATGAGTAGGTGGTTAAGAGAATCAGATAGAAAAAATTAATAGTAAACTCTATGATTGCTGTTGTATTATGTGTATTAATTAATTAGTCAGTGTGTAGATGGTGATTTCTACTAACATTATTCATTGACTTAATATATTTTGTTGTTATCTACTGAAAAATTTTCTAATAGTGTAGCTGAACGGTGTGAACCTGTATCATGCCATAGTGTAGGTTGCCATAATTCAGCACAAAGTTCAACAAAACAACAAAAAATGAACTTTGGAAAGTATTTTAAAAAAAATTGTTTATTTTTTATAATGGAGTTCAGTAATCAAGTATAGATTCATGTACTTAGCGGTGGAAGAATTTTTGAAGGACAGATAATAATACAATTTGGATGCTCATACTAATGCGAAGTGGTATTAAAAGTCGAGCTTTTTAACCTAAGTGCTGTATGATTCACGATAGCAGAGGACAATTGAGTAACAGTTCTGAGTTACTTTCATTTGAGACATCAAAGTAATACACTATAAATTCGAAATGATTGATTCATATTCCATTTACTGAGATTTCCAATGAGATAAACATATTCAGTTATGATAGTTCAGGGATGAGAACAGGGATGAAACATATTAATTAGACTAGACGAAACATATCATGTCATAAGAACGTTCTTATTCTACTTACCAAAGGTATCCATAGAGACACGTAATTTAATAAATAGCACAAGAGGGTTCGCTCACTAGTGTTTAGTCTGGAGATAAAATCTCAAAGTGACTAGTAGAATCCAATCATTCAAAAATAAAATAGACACTACTGATGAAGTCTAATAATTATCGTGCTATGTTACAAAGTGGATGAGAATAGATATGTGGACTGTCGGATTCTGTCCCAGACGTTTAAGGGTATTGTGATCACAGCAGATATGGAAGTCCTGGGTTCCATCTTTTATTGAATCAAAGGTGGGAGGAGTCGGAGCCTCAAATCAGGACGAAACAGCTACCAAGTACCACATACTTTTCAGTGGTTCTTTAACTTATATTAGTCTACATTTATTTTTATCAGTTTCTACGTAACTATACGAATTTTTAGTAATTGCTAATGTATTAGTCTACAGTTTAAATAAAGTAAACATAAATACTTGTTAATGGACTTGTTATTATCGATATATAACTGCTTAGAAAGATGAATGAATATTGTATGCTTGTGCGGATGAGAGATAGCTGGTCAAAAAAAAACACAATTAGTGTTCAGGACATGAAATCATCTTATGAAGTAAAATTATACACATTTGTACAAAATATTTGACATCAAAATAAACTTGATTAAAACTCATTTAAAAAGGAGGAAGATGAAAAGATTCTATATTTTTGGACTAATTACCAACTGGTAGATTTGAGACTACCAGGCTCATCTATTACAAACCATACTACTTATATGCATTAATCAAAGGAATTACTGCCTGCTTTGTTAACAGATTCCTTCTCATACTGATTAAAAACAGAAAACTTTGACTATTTACCGTAGTTTCAATGTAATCGGTTGTACTAGCTTAACATCTTTACAACTAATTTACTAGAAGAAAGCCACATAAGATTACAATGCTACTAATATGGCCCAGATTCAGATCATTTAATACATCTGGTGTAAAAATTAATATTTTATTGTTTCATATCTGTCTGTACAGTATGAAAAAGAGCAAATGTGCATGTATAGTAGATACAAGTGATGGATATCATACCTATTGAATTGAAAATGCACAATGTATATATACACACACAATGTATCTACTTCTTTATGCGTGCATATATAGATAGGTATAGGCATAGAATATATGTGGAATGGAAGCGTAGAAGAGATGCCAAAACTTGATTGCCATATACAAAACTAGATGTGTATACATTGTCTTAAATATAAAAAAGCACCATGCAGTGTTCGAAATGATTTGTCAAGATTATATAGATTATTGGGGTCTCTTAATATGCAATATATTGAACAAGATGCACGACAGAAAATAAATAAAGATCAATATGTACGATATGTTTGCAATCAGGGTGGTCATTTTTTTTTATTACGATTACATTTACACCCCAGAACTTTTGTACCATGCGAAATATGGATGTTTGCTACTAGTTCCATTTTGATATTTTTATCTACAGGATAATCTCAGTAGTGTTATATTAATGTTCATAGTACTAAGATAGTTATCCTAACGACAGTAAGTTGCTTAGTTTCATCACGCAAACAGCTGGATTGAATATAAGATTGTATTTACTACCATGATTTTATGCAGGAATTAACAATGGATACTTTACGCCATACAGAAGTGATACTGTTCATCTAGTCATGTTATTCACAAAAAAGTATTGCTACATGATCTTATAGTTAGTATTAATGTAGACTGACTTATTGAAAAAAAAAAGATTCAAATTATCGCACTTTTTACCAATAGAACTACAAACTTTGTGATTAACTTTCAACTATCGAGTCAAAGGTTCAAATCTTTTTTTTTTTATTTACACTTCAGTTTGGGTAGTTAAACAGTAGTTGCAAGCATATAACAGGTTGAACTTATAGCTATTATATATAAACGTGATTTGATTAATAAGATGAATTTGTTGTTTAATGAACATATTGTTGACGTAAACATTTATTTTTCAAAATGACTATGGGTTACTTGAAGTAAGTTTAAACTTTATCGTTCAAAGTAGGCAACCATTGAGTATTAAGCATGGGTACTTTAGCTATTAGTTATGTTACATTATGAGTAAGTGTGATTTAACAAAAATGTTGAATCACTTATTTAGACTGGATAATAAAATGATCACTAACAAAAGATGCAATAAAATTAGTAGCTGTAAATTAGATCACTCAATCATATGTGTTAAATATGACTTGGGTACCGTTTGCATTCATTAGGAAACAAAAGCAAACATATGATCAGTTATTCACTATTTTTCCTAGATGAGTACCGTGAAAAAGGAAAGTGGTAAAATAAGGCTTAAAGTGGCTAAGACAAAAGATAAAATAAATTTACCGATTGTTTTTTTCTTTGAGGTATGAACTATATCAATAAGACTTATACTGAAGTAGCTGATATTCATATTTTTAACGACTTGAATATAATTTAATCTTACAAAGAGTCTTTAATAGGAATTGCTACTTTACATAATTATTTAACGTGTTTTTTAAACTTTCGGCCTTACCTATACAAACAGATTCCAGTCTCAGTAATGATTTCCTTTATTTAAATAATTTCATGATACAGTAACTAACTTCATTTTATGCACTGAAACACAGTATATGTGGTGCTGAGATGTTGGCTTTCAAAATTTTTGGTTAAAGTTTGTAACAGATTTGTAACCAAAATATTGTCATTCATAAAATCTAACGGCAAGTTGAATACAAAATAAGTCAAACATGTTCAGCACGAAGTATCAACAATGGCAAATGGAAAATATACACACAAACCATATAGGTGGAGAAATCAGTTCTTTTTGATAAAAAGAAATGGTGATTAGGCAAATGTTATCCTATTTTTATTGTGCATTTCCTACTCGAAAATTCCACTTTAAGTAGTATATATATATATATATATATATATATATATATATATATTGCTAAGATTAATTTTAATACAGTAAAAAAAGATGTAATCCTTAGCATATCATAGAAAGATAAAAATTTTCGGATGACTAAGAGAACGCCTTTTATCTGTAGATCAATAAAGAATGTACAATAGACACTCCCACTAGCTAACTACATTTGGTTTCACCATACTGAGTCAAGAAATTAACAACAACAAATTAATCGAATGAAACAAATTTACTGTAACTTCAAAAAGAAATTGTACATGACAAAAGATAATAAAAATCTTAATAATAAAGAGACTTATCACTGAGATGGTATTATTTAAAAGACCACTGGATAAATAATATACTGAAAGAGTTAAATTTTGAGATTGTCTATAGAAGATCTTCAGATAAAATGATAAGTACATTTAGGCAGAATCAAAATAATTATTTTGGTTTTTTTGAAATCATTCAGGTTACATTGTCAATACCTTTAGGATTTCGTCCTTGAAAAGACTTCAAATGATTGGTAAATGCAATGCATAGCCATCTAATGTTATCATAAATATTAGTCTAACCTATAGCCGGTAAAACAGGGATAACTTGTTTAGTAACAGTTTAAATAATGTTTATCATCTGAGAAGCAATAGTGAAACCGAACTCGATAAATAAGCATGGTTGATAGTGATTTAACTAGGAACATGACCACATTAGAAGAGCATATTACAAAAAACTATATTGCTCGAGGACATCATGGTCAACACAATATGTAACAATTGATGAAGTTAGACATTAGCACCGTTTGATGCAAGGTGAGTAGTCTAGAAGTTACGCGTTCGCGCGCGAGACTAAAGGTAGTGGATTTGGTTCCAATTTTCGGGGTCGCAGATTCTCACTTCTGATAATTCCTATACTAGGACGAAACAGCTGTCCAGTGCTTCCGGATTTTTAACGATGGTCTAACATTGGGCAATTCATGATATCAATGGAATAATAACTTAGTAAACATATTGACAAAATGGTGAATACACACATTTCTAAGTGTCAGTGATATAT